TATCATGTGCTCAAAATGCTTCATAGACATCATCTCCGTAATCAGAGAAATCTCAGCCCAACAGAAGTTGTGTTGTTTGAATATTATAGCAATAATATTTAAGTGGGAATGAAATATACAGTATTTGTTTTCCCAACAATGAGAGAGGTCAAGGTGGAGAGTTTCAGTAAAACAAATTTTTAAAAGGATCCTGCCATTTTAACAGCTGTTGTTCACTCTGTATACTTCAGGATCTGTGTTTGACCAGACTCTTCAATTCCATCTCTAGTATTCAATTCATCAGTATAAGGTTCTTTCCATTCCCAGCACTAAATCTATCACTATTAATTTGTCACTATTTATCATCATCTTTTAGCAGAGAAATCCAGAAAATACTCTTTCATCCTGATCTTATTTACTCCTGTTTACTTACATCAGAAGTAAACCGCATAGAGTTCAACTGTGGTTTGTGGACCATCACTGGTCTGTGGTGTGTCTGTGGATTTGTGATAGAAGATGGGGGCTAGCCCACTTGCCCCACTGAATACACTAAACTCGCAACTTCTGCTCACTTATTTTACATGGCTGCAAACTTATGTGGTTAATTGAAAAATAGATAAATCGGAAAAATGCAGGGGGAATCAAAATAATCAGTAGGAAAACGTCAAAAGGAGGTGTGGGGGGGGAAACAACAATTGGCAGTCCCACCAACCATTGCACTCACCCTGGGAGTGTGTTTGGGCATCATCAGAGAGTCCTAGTGAGAGCAGAGAGAAGGGTGGTCTAAGAGCAAGGGGAGGTGATCTGAAGCATGCCAAGACCCTCAGCAGCTTTCCAGTGGTCCATGGGAGGGGGCAGTTTGGGACCCACTGCTATACATATCTACTCAGAAGTAAGTTATATTGATTTCAAAGGGGCTTTCTCCCAGGTAAGTGTGTATTAATTTAGTTTAATTAATTAGTTTTAATTTAAATACGTTAAAGTAAAGCATATAAAACCATAGTACGATATAATAACATAGATATAACTTTTTTAAAAACCCTAAAAACCTTTAGAGCCAACATTTTGTATCTTTTAGGGGTGGGGGTAGAGAGAAAACTGCCTGTGGTATTGTTACTAAAAAGACATTCTGTTCCTTTAAACGTTCTTGTGCATCTCTCCCACCCTCAATTCCAACCATTACTATCTCCATATATTATACTTGTCATAACTCCCTGTTACAGTGAGTCAGTGTGCTGAAAATAAACTTCATGGCTTGTATTCTATTCGAAAGCAGAAGCCCAAACATTGAGGGGGGGGGGCGGCGGTGAGAATTTACCCTCTGTCCTAGTGTAAACCACACAGAAGAGGAAGTTGCAATGAATGTTGGAAGAAAAATGTGTGCTCTTGACATCTGATGGAAGAGATAAATCTGTCTCTGTGAACTGAGACTAACTCTCCATCCCCACAAGTTTCCCAGTTTGGGAAAGAGCGGGGAGGCGTGCAGGAGTGCGACATCCACAGCCTTGCGAAACCTCTTTGAAAGTCATTTTTCCAGTGGGAATATCAGTCTCATGGAACCCCTCACTTAAATCCTATATTTACAAGGCCAGTTTAATTTTGACACAAAAAACCTACAGTGCTCTCTTTCAAGTGAAGCTGTGGCTTCAGAAGCAGGACTTTCAAAATTCATAAAATAACCCCAGTCATTAATGCAGCCTTATTTTTAAAAGGTGACTGCAGCAAAGGGGCCAGTGCATCCATTTTTTTAAAAAAAAATAAAAAGCCTCTAAGCGAACTGGGTGTATTAAAGATGATGACAGCCTTCCCCAATCCTACCCCGACCTCCCAAACTCCAGGCGTTTTGAAAGATGAGACACCCCAAAACAGAAATAAACTAAGGAACTACACCAAACCCACACACTCACACACATTCAAGCCACAGTTGACACTGTGAGGAAGCCAATTTTTAATCATACCCTTCTGGCTTTTTTGTATGGGATGTGTCTAACACAGTTTTACAGAGACCACTTGGACCGCTGTGTAATTTTGTCACTCCAGCAACTTCTTTCTCAACAGAAACAAATCTTTACTGTTCCTCATTCAGACAACCTCATCTTCTTCCCCCCACATCCAGACTCCCTCTCCTAGATTTAAGAGCAGTAACAATTATTCCACATTTGCTGATTCCCCGTTCTAGACAACTTCTTATAGGGTTTAGGCTACCTGGGAGCAAATTCCCTTGAATTCAGTAGAACTTTTTTCCAAACATGGTTAGGCCTGCAGCCAACGTACAGATGTCACAAGAGTCAGCAGTGTTTATGTAATTGACTAAAAACATTCTCATATATTTAAAAAAAGATCCCCTCAAGTAACCAAGCAGTGTTTATAAATAAAACATGCAATTGATATTCCTTTATTATTTTAGAAATAACTTTATATATTACTTTTATCTACTATTATTATTATTATTATGTCTGTATTACTTGAATGGGGGATGCGGGTGGCGCTGTAGTGTAAACCACTGAGCCTCTTGGGCTTGCTGATCAGAAGATCAGCGGTTCGAATCCCCGCGACGGGGTGAGCTCCCGTTGCTCGGTCCCCTGCTCCTGCCCACCTAGCAGTGTGAAAGCATGTCACAGTGCAAGTAGATAAATAGGTACTGCTCCGGCGGGAAGGTAAATAGCATTTCTGTGCACTGCTCTGGTTTCACCAGAAGCGGCATAGTCGTGCTGGCCACCGCAGCCCCAGAGTCATCTGCGACTGGACTTAACTGTCAGGGGTCCTTTACCTTTACCTTTTTATTACTTGAATGAAGATAAAGCACTATCACAGAAGAGGCATTTTCCACACACACAGGAAGGACTGCTTCTTCTAGCAGATAGTGCCTGCTGCAGTGCGTGTAAATCATCTTTAAAAATTGTTTTTAGGTGCCCCCCCTTTAGAGCTATTGTTTTGTTCAAGGGCAAATAAATTAAAATTCATGATTCATTAACTACTTTTTTTAAAAAAAATCCTTATTAATGACACTTTTTCTTATTGTGCATTGTTTTTATAGTGTCAACAAGGTGCATGGTACTGTAGACCCATATAAGTGGTTAGGTCCATGCACTGAGAAGCTTACAGTTAAACGTAAATTAAAGTGAGTGAAGATGCAGGAAGGTTTTAAATCTGTCATCATCCCTGGAAAAGGAGAAAACGAGCCATGCCCATTCTGAGCAGATAAGTTTATTGTAGCGCTATAAAGAAGGAATCTTTTACGTTTCCTATTGTAGTTGGAAGGTAATTGTGCTTCCCAGATCCCAATACTTGGAACAGTGGCCACTCCAATGACCTCTCCTGCTCACCTTCATTTCTCTGGGAGCCTACCTCAGGTTAACATTTCTACACAAGAAACAATGCAAAAGGGTCTCAGAGAGATTTGAGGGCCAGTTTTAAAAAGTCGAGAAATATGGACACAGCAGTAAAGGTGGCAAGAAAGGAGATTCCAGCTGGACATCAGGAAGAACTTTCTGACAGTGGGAGATGTAGTGGACTCTCCTTCCTCAAAGGTTTTTAAACAGAGGTTGGATGGCCATCTGTCATGGATGTTTTTGTTGAAATTCCTGTGTTGCCCAGGGTCCCTTCCAACTCTATAATGATTCTAATACATACAAACTCTGAAATCCTCATCAGCACGAAAACCAAGTCACTAACTCAAACCGGCCCATCCCTACCAGACAAAACTTTGGCCCCCTCGAGTTCTAAGTTTACACACAAACACACAAATACACGTGTCCAGCACGTGCCTAGTACCTCTCCTTTCTCACTAAGATCCTTCCCCTCCCTCCAAGGTATGATCATTCAAACTAGGCAGGAGAGTAACAGATGATGATGAAAGGAAAAGAGTCGGGGTGGGGTGAGAGAGGGAGAAGGAGAGACGCCGTTTAATGCGATATTCAATATCCTGCAACATGCATTTTGAGCTCTGCACTTCCAGCGGCTTAAAAGCTCATAATGCGCTCTGTACTTCCTCTCGCTAATGTCCACAGGGGGTTTAATGCTGGGGCCGATCGATGGGGCTCCTCTGGTGTCACGATCTCTCTTTCTTTACTTTTTCTTTCGCAAAAAGCAGCAGCATAAACCAGACTGGGAAGGGACGGGCTAGAGGAGGCGGGATTATTTTGGAGCGCCGGAGGAGGGAGGGAAGGAAGGGGTGAAGGAAAAGGGAGGGATTTGGGCTTCTCTCCACCAGGACCTCCCCTCCAGATTTCTTCCTCTCCCCTCCCTTTTTATTTCCCAAACGTCTCTAGATTGCCCACTCTACACCTCCTCCGCCTCCCCCTCCCCCCCGCGATGTGAGAGCAGCCAATTCTAAGGGCAAAGGGAGGAAAGGGCAAGCGGCTTCGACCGTCGCGACTACGCATGCCCGGCCATCCAGGCATGCTCAACAAAAATAGAAGGGCAGCCCAACTGCCAAATGATGGGGAGCAAAAGAGGCTCTTCATCTCCGTAGGCGATGGGCTTGCAAAGAAGAGAAGCAGGGAAGGGGAGGGGGGCAAGGGGTGGGTGGCTGAGGACTCTTCCAAAATATCCCCAAGAACTCCTGGAGGAACTTTGCCACGCTTTGAGAGCGCACTATTCAGATGCCCGAGAGTGTTTGCTGTCAGCCCGGGTTTATTTTTTAATTTTTATTTTATTGGACTCTTCTGCACCGCTCCAAGGCAGCACGTGATGGGCAGGGCAAGAAGGCTCCACCGCTTTCTTCACCCTTGAGAAACTTGTCCCGCTAACCTTGGAAAGCGGGGCTGGTTGGAGGGGGGGGAGGGAGAGAAGCGGCAGCCCCGCCAAGGAGAAAAGGCAGCAGAGAGCGAGGAGGGGGTTTGCACACACCCCAACTCCGCCCCTCACTTGGCTGTAGCCATCCAGCTTTAAGGAGACTTTGGGGCTGGAGGAGACAAGGGTGTAAGATGTGACACACGTATCTGCACGCGCTCACGCGCGCACGTATCCCCACCCCCACTCCCCAAACACACACACACCGTTTTCGTCGTCCACCGTCCCTACCTTTCGGATTTGGTGAATTTCCGAAACGCCTGCCGGAGATCGTGGAAGGAGCGATAGGTCTGGGGCTCGGCGGAGATGCCTTGCGCCCGGGTGGTGCGGGGTCCGATGTGGGTGGTGGGCGCGGGCAGCACGGACTGACACTTGTGCAGCTTCCTCCTCAGCTCCTGGATCTCCTCGTCCTTCTCGGACAAGCGCTTCTCCAGCTCTTTAATCCGCTCATCCTTCAGCAGCAAGAGCTTGGCAAAGTCCCCTTCCAGCTCGCTCATGTTTCGAAAGCCCTCGCTCCGCTGCAACTTTTTTTCCCTTCTTCTTTTTGGTATCCCGTAAGGAAGCGAGCGGGGGAGCGAAGGAGCAGCAGCAAAAGCAGCAGCAGCAGCGACCCAGGCGAGCGCGGAGTGAATGGAGCCTCTAAGTAAGAGAGGGAGAGAGAGGAAAGGGGAAAGAGAGGGAGTGAAGAAGAAGGGGGGAAAAGTCAGTCCAAAGCAGTGGGGAGAGATCTGCTGTCACTAATGGGTGGTGGTGAGCGGCTTTCTTCGATCCACTTACTGCTGAATGGGCTGTAAATGGAGGCAGCAGGATGAGAGAGGGCTGAGATCACTGGATGTTGAGTGCTAATCTGGAAGCGTCCCTCGGGACCGGGTGATTATCTTTCATTGAGAAAGCAATTAGAGCTACCCTCCTGCTGCCGCCGCCGCCGCCCTTCATACCTACCGGATTCACTCGGGGAGGAGGAAGAGGAGGAGGAGGAGGAGGAGGAGGATGGAAAGAAGAGGCATGCGAATAGCCAACAGCAGCCCCACCAAACTCCTAAGCTCTCTCATCAGGACAAGAGCTCTCCCTTCCTCCATCTCTCTCTCTCTCTCTCTCTCTCTCTCACACACACACACACACCACATCTTCTGTGTTAAGTGGTACAGACAACAGAGAGAGGAAGAAAGTTGATGGAGAGAGAGAGATGCAGTCCTTAAAATAGCAACCATTATTACTATGCAGCCTGCAGGGTGACACAGCTCCCTGTAACCAAAGCTTCGGGTCCGGGGTTGTAAAATTAGATGTCCTTCATAAATTATTGATCCCTCCCCTCCCCTCAAAATAACCTCCACAAATTGGTTCCTTCATAATGGTACTTAGCATTTGGCCAGGCGTATGTCAAGGGCTCCAAGCACTCCTGGTGCGTTTTTCTCCTCGAGAATCCTAACAGCAGCCTTGTAAAGTGGGTCAGTGTTACTAACCGGCTTGTTATCATTGGGAACCGAAGGCACTGGTGGCTCGCTTAATAGGACACGTAGGGTGAATGTGAGGAGGGCTCCAAAAGCTGCGGCCAAGCACCTCCAAAAAGCTAAGGAGCAGATCATGAAGGAAATTGGCGTCTGCACGTTTGTCCCCGGTGTTTGCTATTCAGAGATATACTTTTCTCTGAACATGGAAGTTCAGCTATTACAGCTGATGGGGAGGGGGTCATAGACCTATAGTACAGACCTAACAAACCCATCACCACATCCTGTGGCAACTAATTCCACAAATTAACTCTGCATAGTTTGAAAAAGTAGGCGCCTTCTTTTTCTAAGCCTGTTCCCAATTAAATTGTTTAGATGACCCCAAGTTCTAATATTAAAAGAGGAGCAGGGAAACCTCTCCTTTCATTCATAATTTTACAGTATTGACTTTTGTCATGTCTGCCCTTCCAAATTAAACAATTCCAAAAGTGTAGCCTTTTCCTGTATGGATAACATTTCTTATCAACTGGCTTGTTTTTGTTCTATATCTTTTCCAGGACTGCAGTATTCTTTTTTCTTTTTAATGATGGTGTGATCAGAACAGTACAAGAAAATTCCAAATGTGGCTGAGGCACAGATTTGCATAAGGGCATTGTGACAATGGCAGTTTTCTTTTTGACCTCTTTTCTATAATTCCTGACATAGAATTTGCCTTTTTCTCTGCTACTACGCACTGAGTTGACATTTTCAGTGACCTATTCACTACTAATCTTTCCTGGGTACTCGTAGACTAATCAGACCCCATCAGTGTGTGTATATAGATTTTTGGTTTTGTTGCGGGTTTTCTTTTTCACCCCAATGTGTATGACTATGCACTTACTTATATTAAATCTCATTCGCCATTTTGCTATACCTTCATGCAGTATAGAGAAATCCTTCCAATATTTATTGGCTACCTTGAGTTTCATAATCAAATAAACTTGGCAACTTCGCTGCTCACTCCTGATGCCATTTGTGAATAACACAGCTGACTTTCCTTGGGCATGAAAACTTGCTAGTTTATTGCTGACCTCTGCTTCCTACCCTTTTGACCACATAAGGGTCACTTGATGTGAGATTTGAACTGAAGACGTGTCAGCTCATGGCCTGCTATTACACCATAGTACTCTTAATAATCTTTTTATTCCTTCCTTACTGGGGCCTCTCAGAATTCCAGGGCAGAGTTTCTCTTGCTCCCATTTCGAGTACCCCAAATGCTGTTTTGGTGAGTGCCTATGCATTTAGAGTATATCATCTTCACAATAACATATATGTGAAGATACTGCTCTCATATTGTGCAGTGTAACCCTTCCATAATAACAAAAAAATAAGTCCCACTGATTTCAATGGCTAGAGGTTGGTGCTGAAAGGCAATGTTCTCAAGTACACCTACTGGATTCAATGGGGCTTTCCTTGAGAAAGTCTGGAAATGATTGCAGCACCAGGCGGAAATCCTAAAAGGGCCATAGCTGCAGGCAAGCCTTGCTTCTTCAGGGATGTTCCAGCTGCACATCTTTCATCTATGTGGGGCTGCCCTTGAAACTGACCCAGAAACTCCAGCGGGTGCAGAAGGCCGCAGCGAGACTCCTCACGGGGTCCTTGCCATGGGAGCACATTCATCCGGTGCTATACCAGCTGCACTGGTTCCCGGTGGAGTACAGGATCAGGTTTAAGGTGCTGGTTTTAACCTTTAAAGCCCTATATGGCCTAGGATCCTCATACCTATGGGACTGCCTCTCCTGGTATGCTCTACAGAGGACCTTAAGGTCTGCAAATAATAACACCCTGAAGATCCCAGGCCCCAGGGAGATTAGACTGGCCTCGACCAGAGCCAGGGTCGGAACGCTCTCTCACAAGAGACCAGGGCCCTGCAGAATTTGACATCTTTCGCAGGGCCTGCAAGATGGAGCTGTTCCACCAGGTCTTTGGTCAGGGTTCAGTCTGATTCTTTTCTTTCTGTATAAGAACAAGCATTAAAGAGGTCTCCTAGCCCGCTTTATAAGGCTGGTGGTAAAGTTGTCCCTGAAGAATATTAACCACTCTCAGTTTTACCCATGGACTGCCTTCTGTCCAGATTTTAATTTGCTCTGAACTAATTTTAAGATGCATTTTAATTAATTGATTGCCTGTTCTTATGTTCTTTGTATACTGTGTTAGTTTTATGACGTTAGCCGCGCTGAGCCCAGCTCCGGCCAGGGAGGGCGGGGTACAAATAAAAATTTACGTTGTTGTTGTTGTTGTTGTTGTTGTTTTAAGAGGATAAGCCTCAAGTGTAGCTCCATAGGTTGTTGGACTACAATTTACTCATTCTCTGGCCATTATCCTTGCTAGATGGGAAGTCCCCAAAATATCTGGAGGGCTACAGTTTCTTACCCCTAACTCTAGTGTTGTTGTCGTTTAGTTGTGTCCTACTCTTCATGACCCCATGGACCAGAGCACGCCAGGCACTCCTGTCTTCCACTGCCTCCCGCAGTTTCGTCAAATTCATGTTGGTAGTTTCAAGAACATTGTCCAACCATCTCGTCCTCTGTTGTCCCCTTCTCCTTGTGCCCTCAGTCTTTCCCACCAACATGGTCTTTTCCAGGGAGTCTTCTCTTCTCATGAGGTGGCCAAAGTATTGGAGCCTCAGCTTCACGATCTGTCCTTCCAGTGAGCACTCAGGGCTGATTTCCTTCAGAATGGATAGGTTTGATCTTCTTGCAGTCCATGGGACTCTCAAGACTGTCTTCCAGCACCATAATTCAAAAGCATCAATTATTCGGCAATCAGCCTTCTTTATGGTCCAGCTCTCATTTCCATACATCACTACTAGGAAAACCATAGCTTTAACTATACAGACCTTTGTTGGCAAGGTGATGGCTCTGCTTTTTAAGATGCTGTCTAGGTTTGTCAACGCTTTTCTCCCAAGAAGCAGGCGTCTTTTAATTTCATGACTGCTGTCACCATCTGCAGTGATCATGGAGCCCAAGAAAGTAAAATCTCTCACTTCCTCCATTTCTTCCCCTTCTATTTGCCAGGAGGTGATGCAACCAGAAGGAGAAAGGATTTGGGGTGGGAAAGGAGAATTGAGAGCAAAAAGGCCTTACTGAAAGCTCGAAGCATCTCTGCAGTGGGGTGGGGGGATCTTGCTGTTGTGGACAGGTGAGTTATTACTACTAAGTGAGGTGGCTGAGAACAGTGTGTCACACGCTGCTTCAGGGAGGGGCAACTGTAGATTTTGGCAATCTGTCATGGATGCTTTTCTTGAGATTCCTGCATTGCAAAGGATTGAAACTAGATGACCCCAGGGTCCCTTCCCAGTCTACAATTCTACAAAATAACTACAAAATAGTTAGATGCATATCTGGATGGAGAAACCAGTAGCCCTTGAGATATTGTAGGACTATAACTCCCCTTTCCTCTGGCCACCAGCCATGCTACTTGGGACTAATGGAAGTTGTAGTGCCACACATTGGCCGCCCATGCCATAGACATAAGTTCCACTGAAATCTATTTAATTATATATTTATATTGAATTTATATATTTATATACCACCCTTCATCCGAAGAACAGAGGGCAGTTTGCAATATAAAAATGCAAAAATACATAGCATAGTAACAAAAAAGAATACTACCCCCTCCCGCCCCACCACCCCAGTTTAAAAGGCTGTAGATTGTTTACTTCGCCAAAGGTCTGGGAGAAGAGGAATGTTTTTGCCTGATGCCTAAAGATATGAAACAAAGAAGCCAGGTGAGCCTCCCTGGGGAGAACATTCCACAAGGGGGAGCCGTTGCAGGAAAGGTCCCTTCTCATGTTGCCACGCTCTGGGCCTCTCATGGAGGAGACACATGAAGAAGGGACTCAGATGATGATCTCAGGGTCTGGGTAAGTTCATAAGGGGAGAGAAGGTCCTTGAGGTATTGCGGTTACAGTTCAACAGCATCTGGGAGCTAAAGATTGGGGAGGTTGTTTAAGTTGTCCCCTTTGCTAATCTCCATTGCTGAAGAATTGTGTGGTCCCCATGAGCAGCTTGGCTGGGTTCCGATGTTGAACAGAGCAAGGGAAAGCTTTGCTTTTCTAGTTGCATTTTCCACGCTTATCACAGAGCTCTGGTTGAGGTGGGGCTAGAGCATGCACTGCCCTACTAGGACTACCGATTCACTACCAACAAACACAAGGCAACATACAAGTGCCTTGTATACAATCTGTGTATACAATACAATTTGTAACATTTTCATTAAAGTAAAAACATTTTGGGAATATTTATTTTATTTATAATAAAACCATTGTATCGACCTCACATGCATTACACAAAGTAGCTTACATCAATAAAAATCACAATATAAAAATAAAAAAGCAACATCACCAATATAAAAATCACAGCATAACATCCACAGGTGACAGATGCAATTCGCCAAGGGCAGGCAGAGCACATAAAACAAAGTTTGTCACTAGAATCAACCCAGCCTAACAAATTAAACACATGCTAGAATAAAGAAGTATTCATAAGCTGGTGAAAGGCCATCAAAGATGGAACCATTCAGGTACTGAGAAGGCCTTATTTCTTCCCTGTAGATCTTAATGAATGGGCAGGCTGGCATGGGAGGAGGCAATCCCTCAGGTATCCTTGACCCAAGTCATTTAGTGCTTTAAAAGGCAAGCATCAACACCCTGAACCTCAAAACAAATTGGTAACCAGTACAGTTACTGCAGGACAAGTGAAATGTGATCAAACAAACATCCTGACCACCACATGATGGACCAACATAATTTCCTGAGGACTCGTCAAAGTTAGCTCCATGTAGAACATGTTGCAGTAACATAGTCTAGATGTAACTAAAGGCCAAGGCACATTTAATTAGGGTCAAATTAGGGTCAAATCAGACCTCTTTAGGAAAAGGCACTGCTGGTTCATCAGCTAGGCTAGCCAAAGGCACTCCTAGCAACTATCACCACCTGGGCATCCAAGTTCAAGGATGAATCTAGGAGCACCCACAAACTGAATACCCGGTTCTTCAACCTGCAAACTCAATATCTGATTCCTCCCCCCCCCCAAAAAAAACCCGCAACAACAACCCACTTTGAAGTTCTATTCTGGAGTCTATCTTCTTCCTGATGAGGAACAGCTCTCTCATCTGGATTAAGCTTCAATTGATTAGCCCTCAACTCCAGCCTATTGCTATCAGCAGGCAGCAGTTCAGAACATCAACCACTTGGTATTAGATGGGAAAGAGAAATGAAACTCTGTGTTATCTGCATGTTGATTACAACACATTCTAAACATCCAGACAACCCCGTTCAGTCGTATGTAGATATTGAACAACCTACCAAAGAAGACAGTGATGCCATACACAAATGACCAAGGCATTTAATTAGTCCTCCAGCATCACTTTCTGACACTCAATGAAGAGCCAGAACCATAGCACAGTACCTCCTAGGGCAGGAGTTGTGGGGGACTTGTGGCCCTCCAGATGTTGTTGGACTACAACTCTCGTAAGCCCCAGCCAGCATGGCTGATGGTCAGAGCTGGTTGAAGTTGGAGCCTAACAACACTTGGAGTGCCATGGGTTCCCCAGCCCTGTCCTGGGTGTATTCCCTTCAGACTGTCTGGAAGTGTACAATGGTCAACAGCATCAAACATTCCTAAAAGGTCCAGCAGAACCAAATGACATGTAAATTCCCGGTTAAGAAAAAAAAGGGGGGTCAAAAAAATATCATTTTGGTGCCACCCAAAATAATAGTGCTCTAAATACTATCCAGCTTACCCAATAAGCTCTGCCTATCCAAAACTCTTCCTGGTGGATGTTTTAAAATCATTAGCACCACTTTTATTATACTTAAATGATCCTGAAAGAGATCCTTATTATACTGAAAGAAATGGCAGAGTGCTTAAAGGGGCAACTTCAGGAAACTTTAAAGAACTTTTAATAAAGTTTGGTTTATTTAAGGAAAGTGCTGTGGATGTATCAGTAAAAGCCTCTGAACTTAAAAATAATGGTCCCTACCAGCATACATGTTTCTGCCGCTAAACTAATGGACACTAAAATATACAGAGACTGTGGAGCTTTGAGACAGTTACAGAAATCTCTGATGGAGCCTCACCTGGAAATGTGGCAGCCCCACCTAAAGAGAAAGGATGGCTACCATCCTGCATCTATGGTTGTGAGCTATCATTGTAACTGAATGCCTACTATCCTCACTACCTGCAAGTAAGATAATGTAACACATGAAAGGTAAGACCTAGGCTGCAAAAGGTAAAGGACCCCTGGATGGTTAAGTCCAGTTGAATTCAACTATGGGGTGTGGCACTCATCTTGCTTTTCAGGCCAACGGAGCTGGCGTTTGTCTGCAGACAGCTTTTCCGGGCCATGTGGCCAGCATGACTAAAATACTTCTGGTGCAACGAGACACTGTGATGAGTGCCACAGCACAAGGAAACACCATTTGCCTTCCTGTCGCAGCAGTACCTATTTATCTACTCGTGCTGGTATGCTTTTGAACTGCTAAGTTGGCAGGAGCTGGGACAAAGCAATGGTAGCTCACCCTGTTGTGCGGATTTGAACTGCTGACCTTACGATCGGCAAGCTCAAGAGGCTCAATGGATTAGACCACAGTGCCACCTGCGTCCCTAGGCTGTAATGCTATGCACACTTACCTGGGAGTAAGCTTCATTTAACTCAGTGGGGCTTCCTTCTGAATAGTAGAACTTTGCACGTAGGGTAGTGTTTATCATTCATGGATTTGCTCCTGAGCACATGAATAGCTTCCACTGAAAGATATTGTGACTGAGGTGATGCTAAAGCAGCCCGGTGACTTTCAACTGTTTTAGACTACAACTCCCATCATGCTGACTGGGCTTATTGGAGTTGTAGTCTGAAGCATTTGGAGGTCACTGGCTTGGGAGAAAGCTGTGCTTGATTATTAGAGAGCTCTTTCTAATAATCCTTTTGAATTTCTGATAGCTACACCACAAATGGAAGTCATCACTTACTGTTTGCAGCCTCCAAACCCTGAATTGTGTGTGAACGTATCTTTGGTAAAGATATTGGTTGTAAACTGAACTTTGGAAACATACAACTGTGACTTTTTCTTCACTGCTATATAATAAAAAACAGTACAGCTAGGATATGACCATTCTGAGTTTTGTGTGTGAAGATTTCCCCATTATCTTCCTTTCTCTTTATCAACACATCCACAGCATCAAATAAACAATGCCCACAGGCATTCAGTTGTTATATGTGAGTTTTCCTTGTAAATTCGTTAAGCTTTGAAATTCCTGTTCATGCTGCCACTGCCGCCTTGTGAGAAGTAGCCTTATGGTACTATTTGCAAAGTAGTCTTAAATGTTTCCACATTACAAAAGAAAATTAAATACAACTCTCTCTATTGTTCCAAAAAGGAGAGAGACAGCTCTAAATAGCACCAACATGATATATCAGAGACATAATTAGCAAGCCTTGCTTGATATTTTTTAAAAAAACAGTAACCTGAAAATGTCACTTCTTGAAGAAACTATCATGATGTAATTAAGTGGAAAGTTAGATAGTTTTAAAATGAAACCAATTAGGTTTCACCAGCAAATTATAAAGGCACATTAGAACACCTTGTATCCCAATTTACAGCCAGCATGATGCTTGAATCTTATTCCATGCAGTTGTAATTATACGGTTTTCTATCAGTCACGTACATAATCTATTTTTCATAAGCCCCACAGTTTCAGCACATTGCCACTCTCCCACATTTAGCACCCCTAGAGAACCACCCCTGCCAATGTTACTGGAATTATTTGGGGAAGCAATTCACAGGCAGCTTATAAGTGGTGTTGGCTTCTGCTTTGGGGAAGAGTTTCAAAAATAAAGCCCATTTAAGTCATTGGTGACCTTGAAGTTGAGTGCCCATATACAGTGGAAGCAAGTTGGATGTGGCAATGGATGTTGTGCATAACTTCCTCCCAGCTGGATTGGACCCAGATGCTCAAAGGGTTGCTATCAGGTGTGTCAGACCCTGCACCAGGCCAGCCAATCTGCTCCCTCCTAAATCTGTTCTAGGTTCTCTCCAACCCTATGAAACAGATTTGGGGAGGGTGTGGGGTATATGTGGGAAGAGGAGAAAGGGGGGGAGTTCCACTGCCAAGCAGACATCATTGCATGGATGGAACACATTACTTGAATACTGCCCTGTCTGTTACATCTTCTTAGTGCAAATCTCCCCTCCTCAAATATTACAAGCAATTGCCAATCCAGTGGGGTTAAAGCACCAGATGTTCACTTGGAAGAGCTAGATTCAAATCCACACTTGGTCATGAAGCTTCTTTGATGACCTTGGGTCAATTGCTTTCTCTCAACAAAGGGTGGGAGATATATTTGATTCAGTTCACATTTAAAGCCAAATTTCCAAAACAACACAAGAACTGAAACATAGCTTAAAAATTCACATTTATCTGAATTTTGTATCTGAATTTTGGGATGCAGTTTTTCATCCAAACAACATTTTGAAACATGCATGTATTAGGGGGAAATGGGCATAAAGGTGAATATACTAGTAAAAATAACATACAAAATGTAAATTGCTTGCAAAAATGGGTACATTATTCAATAGTATGCTTTTATCAGGTGAAATTCACATTGAAATGTTGAAGGATTTCGTTAGAATTCTTTTTTTTAAAGCAAATTGCTGCAGAAACCCGGAAGACTAAATTTAAGATTATAAAAGTGAGAAACTAATGTGAATCAAAACTTACAAATCTTGGAAGCCGCCCAGAGTGACTGGGGAAACCCAGCCAGATGGGAGGGGTATAAATAAGAAATTTATTATTATTATTATTATTATCATCATTATCATCATCAGTACTCTCAACCTAACTGACTTTGTGGGATTTGTGGGAAGGATAAAAAGGATAGATAGATAGATAGATAGATAGATAGATAGATAGATAGAGATAGATAGAGGAAAGGTGAGGTGTAAATAAATAGATAAAAGTCAGATGAAATGGTGGCAGGCAGAAAACAGAGTTTAACTGAAAACAGATATTCTACAGCTGCTCCTGTCAAATGTTTCAAATGGTGCATTACACAGGTGTGTGGCTGTTGGTAGAAACTGGCACTTCATGCTCAATGAGAATGGATGAGAGGGAAGGCTCTTTTGGGAGTGTCCTTATCCAAAAAGGAAAATGGAATTCCATCCAGTCAGTGCTTCTGCAAATGCATACCATACTTGAACAATTCTCATGGGTCATAGGGAAGGGAGTTAGCTATGGGGGATGGGGAAGGGGAGCCATGGTGAAACACAACACTTTTGTACAAAGCTAAGGCAGACATGACTTTTTATGGAATATTTTGATGGAATACTTGGGTCATTAACAAAAATGAAAAATGATTCTAAAATAGAAATTACGCTACATAAACTTTGATAGGTAGAAGGATGTTACCAGTAGCTCTATGGCCCTATCCACACATTACACAAAGGCATAGCATTGCCAGGAGCAGGCTTGTGCTTTCTAGTGCCACCCCTGCCAAGCAACCATTTGATGCGCTTATTTATCTGTAGAGAAATCTATATGCAGGTGGTCTTGCTCACCTGTAAAGGCTTCAAGCAGTCAGGACCCCAAGCTGTGCAGAAGAAAGGCACAGCTCTTTTGAGGAAGGTGGTGCAGTTTCAGAGGTAGGGCTAAAAGCATGGCCCCTCTCCAAAGTAAACATGGCCATGCCTTACGTTTGAGTAATGTGTGAAAAGGGCTTATGTTTCACAACACTAATGTGGGGAAAATTGAAAAAGGGATGCCCAATACTCCCCCTGAAATTCCCCCTGGGAAGTTTTGAATCCCGCCCACCACCCTTGCCAGGCTCCACAATGCAGTGGAGAACTGGCACGCAGTGTGGAATTTAAACCATTTGTATCCCTTGCTTGGTTTTATTCTGCAAGCGTTTACCCTGCGCTTAAACTCTTAAGAAAATGTGCATTTGGCAACACACATGTGCTGACTCTGCATGTAGTTCCATCTTTTGCAGGGAGAAGGAGAGTGGGAGATCTGAGTAACTTGAGAAGGGCTGCTCTCAGGCAATTGCCAAAAACATAGCAGAGAGGAGGGAGGAGGCTTATTTAAAGAAAGTTCAAGTTGCTATTTAAGGAATCCTTATTCTTTTAAAAAAATCTTCTCATGGGAAAAAAAAGAATCAATTCTAAAATGATGAGATGGAAGCCTTTCTCACTATTTTAGATTAGCCTACCTAATGACAGAAAATAGTTTCTTCATAAGCTTCTTCATAAGTTTCTGGCCTGGTCAGACTTAAATATATTTAAACTGATTTCTGAAAACACAAAATCATTGGACACAAATCAGGGGAAATGAAGCGTTACTCAAGTCCTGTTGATTTCATCTGAAGAATTAAGCTCCCTCCTGTTTATGGAAGCATGGAGTGGGCAAGATTCCCAAGTGAAAGCAGCCCTAAAGGGGAATTAAATGTTATAGCGTATGTTACTTGTAAGTAACAGAAGGCTTGGTTAGGTCTTTTTTCTTTTAAAAAACAAACTAACTAAAAAAACAAATAAAAGGAAAACAGCGCCCTCTCGTGTCTGAAAGCACCTTGCTGGAGCACTGAAGGATGTGGAAAGAAATATGACCATGGTCCCAGAATACAAAACTAAAATGATACTTGGTGAAAGGTATTTGACGTTGTAGCAGTCTAAACTGGTTCCCTGGCTGAGCTGTTTTTAGCTTTCTAAGCCTGCCTGCTGTTTTAAAGGATATTTGAAGAGCAAGCAATGATTTTAAGTGATGCACTGCATGGGGGGGGGGGGACTGTATTACTATTATTAAAGGTAAAGGTAAAGGTACCCCTGCCCGTACGGGCCAGTCTTGACAGACTCTAGGGTTGTGCGCCCATCTCACTCAAGAGGCCGGGGGCCAGCGCTGTCCGCAGACACTTCCAGGTCACGTGGCCAGCGTGACAAAGCTGCATCTGGCGAGCCAGCGCAGCACACGGAAATGCCGTTTACCTTCCCGCCAGTAAGCAGTCGCTATTTATCTACTTGCACCCGGGGGTGCTTTCGAACTGCTAGGTTGGCAGGCGCTGGGACCGAGCAACGGGAGCGCACCCCGCCGCGGGGATTCGAACCGCCAACCTTTCGATCGGCAAGCCCTAGGCGCTGAGGCTTTTACCCACAGCGCCACCCGCGTCCCTCATTACTATTATTATTTATTATTATTTCATTACATATGACCCATTGCCTGTTACAGTTACAGACTGCTACAGAGTTACAGTCCCCTGCTCCAAGAAGCTTACCATCTAATTTTCAGTGCAGGTGAAGACCAAAAATAGAGGGGAGAAAAAATAATGTGGAAGAACAACTGTGCCTTTTCTTTCACTGGTACTTAAGTTGCGTAGGGTTTTATGTCAAATTAGGAAACATGGGTTTTGAGAAGTTATTTGACAGTAAAGAGAGGTGATGGGATGGGAAGCCTGATGGGACTCCCAACTCTCATCAACCCCAGCCAGTATGGTCAGTGATAATGATCTTAATAACTGCAGATGGAATCAAGCTATAATCCTAATGCGTTAATGAAATCCTGTGTGTTTGCAGTTGTACGTTTAACGTCCTGGCCAGGCCTGTGTCCTGGCCCACAAGTCAATGTGTTGCAGCTTGAATGTGTTGCGGTCAGGGTATACAAAAGGTCTTTGTGACTGAAGGTCTTGGACTAAAAGTCAACAGCCTTTGGACTTGGTTATTACAAGTACATAAAAGAAATGAGGATAAAGGGCTTCATATGGTGGTAGAGAGGTGTGCCCACCACTCTCCAATACCACAAAGATGTCAGTTATGAACTTGCCAGTGCCCAGCTGTGCACAGGGGCGAACAAAGGCTAACCAACACCCGGGGCAGGGCAAACCACTGGCTGCGCATGCGTTGCACAGCTACGTACGATGCATGTGTGGCATCGCTACGTACAGCGCATGCATTGTATGTAGTGGTTTGCTGCCGGCACCGCCCGAGTGCCTTACGTACGGTGGTGGGATCCTCTGCTTGCAGCTGCAGCGGTAGCGGAGGGATCCTACTGCCGTCCGTACGGCGCTTGGGCAGCACCAAAGGCAAACCACTATGTAAGCGCATGAGCAGCGTTGCTGCGTACAGCACATGTGTGCGACACTGCACATGCGTTGTACATAGCGGTTTGCTGTCGGTGCCGCCTGAGTGCTGTACAGACAGTGGTGGGATCTTCCGCATGCGGCTGCGGCAGCGCGATGGCTGCTTGCGCCACCGCACCCAGGGGTGGCGGGGCGAACACCCCGCCGGATGCCTTCTTGTCACCCCTCCAGACATGGCACCTGGGGCACCCTCCCTTGTGACGCCACTGGCTGTGCAGAGATATGTGCATGGTTCTTTCCATGTCGGCAGGAAGGGGGTTCAGGGAAACCTCTTTCTCTGCTCTCCCAGGAACCATGGGAACTTATTGGATTTTGGTGTGTGTTTTTTGGAGAACATGGAATGTTTTTTTCAGCATGGAATGCTCTTTTGATTCTGTGATTCTGTATTCTTTGCATTTTGTTGTAGCTTTATAAACATCTCTAAGTAATTTATATCACAATGATGGTATCATTAAAAAAAACAATGATGGCCCTGGCCAGGTCATAGCTCTCCTGACAGATGATTAGGTCTGGAGCCACAGTGTGGAAATCAAGGATGAGATTGTGCACCAGATGAGTGATAGGAACTGGAATTGAACAACATCTGATGGACCACAGGTTCCCCATCCCTGTCATAGGCAGCCTGCCATTTCCCTGACCTAAAACAACTTTCAGGGTGTCCTGGTTTTACTTTTTGAAATATGCAACCCTAGGATATTGCAGAAGAGAGAGAGAAAGGGCCAAGAACTCCTCTGCAGCACAGCTGCTCCTAGGTCAAAATGAAACCAGATTGCTGATTTAACCTACACTTGTCTATCTTGGCTCTTCCTTCCAGGTAAGCAAGTTTAGGATTACTGCCATATATTGTTTTAAGATTTAGGTAGAAATGCTGCATCATGCTAGGTCTTAATGGGATTTAAGTTCTCTTTTTTCCTGTGCTGTACAAAAATAGGTTTTGAACACCTTGCAGGAAATTTTTGCAGAAGTTTCTCAATGTTGAAATTTAACACCTCCTGCCGTTAGCATAAATGATTTGCCATTTGCCAACACATCTCGCTGGCATCGGCCTGATAAGCTGCCAGACACATTTCCTGGTTAAAATAAATAAATTGATACCACAGTATGCCGACTATTTCCTCCACCGCCCCCTACTTCAAAGAAGGTTTCTAGTAGTTTATAATTCTGTCAGTGGTTTTAATATAAAAAAATGAGGCGGGGGAATATTCTGGAGGTGAATCCACTCGGGCCTGAGGCCTTGTTAATTTTCAGGATCAGTCACTGTTATCTCACATGCCAACCTGTGTCATATTTAAATGGTGTGGCTGGTACAGAAGGTTTTTTTTATATATAAGATATTTATTAAGATTTTCAGAATATTACAAGACAAAAAGAAGAAAAAAGAAAAAAGATAAAATACAAAGTAAAAATAGTTAAAAACAATTCCTTCCTTCCATTACTTATCCTTCATTTGCTTATTTCCAGGACCTCCTCACACCTCCCTTTTTTGTATTCCAATTCAATTATTAGTTCAACAAATCCCTCCCCTCTTTATGTATCCTAATCATTAATCATAAAATATTGTAGTTTTAGATTTTAACCTATTAATAAACCGTTGTTTCAGATTCCCGTCTAACATTTCAGCTAAAGACCACTTAGTTTCTATCCAACATCATTCTAACATTCATTAATTTTGCAATATTTCTGTAAATAGTCTTTAAACTTTTTCCAATCTTCTTCCATCGACTCTTCTCCCTGGTCTTGGATTCTGCCAGTCATTTCCGCCAATTCCATATAGTCCATCACCTTCATCTGCCATTCTTCCAAGGTGGGTAGATCTTGTGTCTTCAATACTTTGCAATGAGAATTCTTGCTGCTGTTGTGGCATACATGAAAAAGTTCTGTCCTTCTTTGGCACCAATTGGCCGACTATGCCTAGGAGAAAGGCCTCTGGTTTCTTCAAGAAGGTATATTTAAATACCTTTTTCAATTCATTATATATCATCTCCCAGAAAGCCTTAATCCTTGGGCACGTCCACCAAAGGTGAAAGAATGTACCTTCGTTTTCTTTACATTTCCAACATTTATTATCGGGCAAATGGTAGATTTTTGCAAGCTTGACTGGTGTCATGTACCACCTGTAAATCATTTTCATAATATTCTCTCTTAGGGCATTACATGCCGTAAATTTCATACCTGTGGTCCACAACTGTTCCCAGTCAGCAAACATAATATTATGTCCAAGATCTTGTGCCCATTTAATCATAGCAGATTTCACCGTTTCATCCTGAGTATTCCATTTCAACAGCAAGTTATACATTTTTGACAAAATCTTAGTTTTGGGTTCTAACAGTTCTGTTTCCAAATTTGATTTTTCCACCTGGAAGCCAATTTTCTTATCCAAATTATATGCCTCCATTATCTGATAATAATGAAGCCAGTCTCGCACTTTGTCTTTTAATTTCTCAAAACTCTGCAATTTCAATTTGTCTCCTTCTTGTTCCAAAATTTCCCAATATTTCGGCCATTTGGCCTCCATATTGAGCCTTTTCTGAGCCTTTGCTTCCATCGGTGACAACCACCTTGGGGTTTTATTTTCAAGTAAGTCCTTATATCTTATCCAGACATTTAACAATGCTTTCCTGACAATGTGGTTTTTAAATGCTTTATGTGCTTTAACCTTGTCATACCACAAATATGCATGCCACCCAAAAACATTATTAAAACCTTCTAAATCCAAAATGTCTGTGTTCTCAAGAAGCAGCCATTCTTTCAACCAGCAGAATGCTGCTGATTCATAATAAAGTTTAAGGTCTGGCAGGGCAAATCCACCTCTATCCTTTGCGTCAGTTAATATTTTAAATTTTATTCTGGGCTTCTTGCCCTGCCAGACAAATCTAGAAATGTCTCTCTGCCACTTCTTGAAACAGTCCATTTTGTCTAAGATTTGCAATGATTGAAACAGAAATAACATTCTTGGCAATACATTCATCTTTATAACAGCAATTCGACCTAACAAGGAAAGCTTCAAGTTTGACCATATCTCTAGATCCTTTTTCACTTCTGACCAACATTTCTCATAATTGTCTTTAAATAGGTTTAAATTCTTAGCGGTCATATTAACCCCCAAGTATTTTACTTTCTTAACCAGTGTTAAACCTGTCTCCTTCTGAAACCTCTCTTTCTCAATCGGTGTTAAATTTTTCTCAAGCACCTTAGTTTTTAAATTATTCAACTTAAATCCTGCCACATGACCAAATTCCTAAATCAATTCTAATACTCTTTTAGTACTAGATTCTGGCTCCTGTAACGTCAATACTAAATCATCTGCAAAAGCTTTCAATTTGTACTGTTTGGCTCCGACCTGTATACCTTTAATCAGACGGTCCCTTCTGATCATATTTAGCAGAACCTCCAGGACCGAAATAAAAAGTAATAGGGAAATTGGGCAGCCTTGTCGTGTCCCTTTCTCTATCTTGAATTCCTCTGTCACCACATTGTTAACTATTAGTTTGGCCTTTTGTTCTGAGTAAATTGCACTTATACCATTTTCAAACCCTTGACCAACCCCCATCCCCTGAAGATTTTTCTTCATGAAACTCCAAGAAATATTATCAAAGGCTTTCTCCGCATCTACAAAAATTAAAACAGCTTTAGTATTAATATTCACTTGTAGCATCTCCAAAATGTTGATTATATTCCTCGTATTGTCAGACAAGTGTCTACCCGGGAGAAAGCCAGCTTGGTCTTTATGTATCTCCTCCACTAATACTTTTTTAACCTTTTAGCCAAAATATCTGCAAAAATTTTATAATCCACATTAAGCAGGGATATGGGGCGGTAGTTCTTAAGTTGTGTCTTTTCAGACTCATTTTTCGGTATTAGTGTAATATAAGCTTCCTTCCACGACTCTGGCGCTTTTCCCCCCTCCAAAATTTCGTTGCAAACCTCCTTTAATGGTTGAATTATCCAATCCTTCAAGGACCTATAATATTTTGAGGTTAAGCCATCTGGCCCTGGAGATTTGCCCAACTGCATGTTCTGAATGGCACCTTCCACCTCATGTTCTGTTATTTTGTAGTTCAACATTAATTTATTTTCTTGGGAGATTTTTTGAAGTCCATTTGTTTTTAAAAATTTGTCTAAATCACACTCTTTCTGTGGCCCTTGTGTATATCAGAAGGTATTTGCCAGCTACTGAATTCATTTCTGCCTCTCTTGAAAATCAGCATACATTTGGCCTAGTTTGGTAGAAACACTGGAAGACCAGTTGTTATTTTAGGACCTACATGGCATAATATTTCATTCCTAATTGCTCCTCAGACAGTGATCTTGTATATTCTTAGTAGTACATGAATGCCATGACAATTTTACTTTTCGTACTTGGTATTTTATGTTCAGTTCTAATCTTAATAGGTCAAGTTAACCACGGTGTAGAGATTGAGCACATTATTTTTTTAAAAATTGAAGGATATTAAATTCTATTTATTAAAACTGAAAGCAGATTAAAAAGGGCCAGTTATTTAAAACCACCTGATGCACAAAGTCAGAAAAGGTCATGCTCTTAATCCTGGAATAGTCCTGTGTTTGTGGTTTCGGGGAGATTGTTTGCTGGAATATTCCCAGAGGCCTTCATGTGGGGAACTTCCATTCCTTTGCTCTGAGGTGCCTTTTAATAGAAGAAATGAATAAATGCCCGAGCTAAAGTGAACCACAGTATTATTGCGAGCTACAGTTTGAGAATACCATTCCTCTCTCTTAACCCTTCAGACATTACTCAGACTCACCCTTGCACAACTTCTGCCACACCAAGCCCAACCCAGGCCATCCGTCAAGTATCATGTTTATTGTGCATTCATCATGATTAGTACTCAGGATGCTGTCAGGGCAGTTATACGCGATCATGCTTTCAATACCATTTGTGCTTGCAAAAGTTTTAGAATGGTTGTACTGCTTCAGCTGCAACTGGTGTGTGTCCCATATTTTCTTGCTAAGATCCTGTAGCTTTCTATACTACAGGTGTTCTGCTTGTTGGGGCGGGGCGGGGGGTTACTCCCAGTTTTAATGTGCTTTATAGCACAAGAGTTCCTTGACAATACACTGAAATATATCCATTTCCTTGTGGCATAGCTAGTCGCACATACCTCTTAAAAGTTCCAAATAAAGGCATTCCCACGAGGGCCTTGCGTGTGCATGTGGAAATGAGTGATGGTTTAGCACAGCAATCACAGCCTGACCACAAAAACTTCAAAAGTGTAAAAAATGAAAGTACAGTGGTACCTCGGGTTACGTACTTAATCCGTTCCAGAGGTCCGTTCTTACACCAAAGCGCTCTTAAACGGAGGCGCACACTTTCTCTAATGAGGCCTCCCACCGCTATTGTTCGGCTTCCGTTCGGCTTCCAGGGCAAAGTGCATTAACTGGAACACCTACTTCCGGTTTTGCAGAGGTCATTGTCCACAGCGTTCATTAACAGGACTGTTCTTAGACCAAGGTACTACTGTACAGTGGTGTGGCATCATAGGGCAATTAACTTGCACAAAGGCAGGAAGGGGAGATGTGAGGATTCATTTATTTATTTCATAAAATGATACACCACTTGATTGTAAAAAACAAACAAACTTCCAAGTGGTTTAACAAAGGATAGTGGGAACATAGACAATGGAATGGGCAGAGTTAAATTGTGGGTGAAATAAAGCAGGGACCTTGGGAAAGCATCACAGAACACCTAATACTGCAGGATAACATGGGGTCAGTCCAGTATAAATCCCCGTCAAATGTGCTGTTGGCAACAGGTTTCTGCAGACACCTGTAATGAAACCTGGATGGGCCCAAAGTTATGGCTTTGTTCTCTCCCCTCCCCCACCAAAGAATGAAAAAACGGGAGTTGTCATGCATCTAGCAGACTACAGTGCGTGGCTCGTGGGGTGTCCCAGTTCCAATGAGGCCCTCTCTCAAATGGTGGCAATTGAAACTATTCTCAAGGCATGGAAGTTTTGAAAAAGAGTTGCACTGTAATTGTGCATGTATGAAGAATTAATTTTCTGGTTCAAGTACACCACAGATACACATGCAACATGTTCACTCAGAAGTAGGTGCCACCAAGTTTAATTGAGCTTACTTCCAAATAAGCAGGCAAAGATTTTCCATTGTACGGCACCACACGTTGATGCAAAGTCAGTGCAAATATATTCCATTGCATTGATTTCTCTGTGGAATCCAGTCCACAGGCCAACTCCCTGATGAGTAATTGGCAAGTGCCAGAGACACCCAAACCCACAATGCTTTAAAGAACCCTCATTCCCCCAGCTTTCATTTGATCCTTTATCTCCTGACCTCTGTGGGTTTACCTGCTTTTGGGGCATATGCAATGAGATCCTGCTCCATCCTTAGCCCTGTGCATCACAGTTATGTGCTGTTTCAACCTTCCTGGCAGCCCAGCATGAACACTGAGAACATCACGTCCCTTTTGTTGGCTGTGCAATGCACAAAAGACTCAAGGGGCAGCCTATCTCCCTTTGTACTGGATCCTTTGAAGTTTGATGCACTATAAGAGAGACTTGCTCTGTATCTGATCTTCCTAAGAGTCCAGTGTGCTGCACAGCTAAAAAAAGGCAACATAGCAGAACCAGAGGGTCCTTCACAGATTTATGAAGCAGCCTCTGACCTGGCCCTGATTTCCTCCTTAATCACAAAAAATAGCCACTGATTTTTTCAAAGAATCTAACCCCTGGTTATGCTTGGGCTTGGGGTGGGGGTCATTCTGTGGCTTTTTTATTTGCCAGAACATTGTCTCAACTCCTAATGGTGTTATTACTACTACTCCCCACCCCTGCAGAAAAGAAACTGCAGATAGTAGATATCAAAGACTCGCCAGCTATTGAACCAGGAAGAGCGGGTGCCTTCATTCCTCACTGAGAACTCCCTCTGACAAAAGGAGATCACTTTACAAGACAGAATCACACAGACATTACTCACACAGTGGCTGCAGTTATCCATTTAGGTATCATTCCAGTAAATCTTTTGTGTGGCTTCTGCAGAATATTCAAGGTACCACTGGGTTGTATTCAGGTTGGGGGAAAGACTCAAGACTTACTGTTACACAGAAAATGTGGTTATCTGCTAGTCTCAACCCTCAGTATGCACATAGCTTCCAAACTTTCCCTTCTGAAATTCTGAACTTTCCTTTCTGAATCATACGCTGTACCATGTAAGGTAGGGTTAGCTAACATGGTGTCCCCCAGATGTTGTAGACCAAAGCTCCCATCACTCCTGCCCAGTAGTCAAACCCTTCCAGGGCAGCATAACCACAACAGAGAAGTTATTTCCCCATGCTGTTAATGATATATGTTCTGACAGTGTGAGAGACAACAAGAACCTGCTGGATCTGGCCATCTAGTCCAGCACCCTGTTTTCACTGTGACCGCCCAGATGCCCTCAATCAGGATCTGAGCACAAGAGCAGTCTCCCCTCCTGCAATTTGCAGCAACTAGTATTCAGAAGCTTACAGCCTATGGCAGTGGAGCCAGAGGTTAGCCATCAAAGCTAGTAGTCATTGATATAGCCTTATCTTCCGTACATTTGTCTAATCCACCTTTAAAGCTATCCAAGGTGGTGGCCATCCCTGCCTCCTGTGGGAGTGAGATCCATAGTCTAACTATGTGCTATGTGAAGAAGTACTTTCCATTACCTGCTTTGTTTCATCTGATATTTTCCCATGCCTGCAACACCCTCAAACTTCACTGAAGCTATGATCTGTGCATACGCTACAGATGTCTAAAATCCATACACCTCATGTTGGCTTATATTTTCCAATCTGAAGCTGGTTTTATAGAAAACATGCCAAACACCAGTATTACTCAAGAAATTACAGAACTCCTATGCAAAAAAATGTCCCGTCTTCTCATCTTCAAACACAAGTTTGGGGAGTGCACTAGAGCCACAGTAAATGGTAATGTGTACACAGCCCAACTAAGCTGAAATTTGAAACTAACCCAGTGGCATTTACATAACAGAAAGGGACAAAGCTATGATCTGAAAGCTTTTCCCCCTGCAGTACCATTTAAATCAGACCACAAATTCTGTTGAGAGTCTATTGAGTGATGCACATGGATGTAGGCTTGAACCAGCCCTTGCATAAAAGTGGGGCAATTCATATTGTTCCTTTCTGAAGTGTGTGATGAGAGGGCACTCTCCATCTGACCATATGAGGACTCCTTCAAAATTCTATGCTTCTAGCTCTCACATGGAAATACAATACAAAAACACCATACAATACAAAAATAGATCCCTCACAACACTGGACAATAGAGCTCTTTCACAATGCGAGTCTGTGTGTTTTAAGAGCTGTTCTGGATGATTTACAGCTGTTCAGGAGGAGGATGTTTGGGGATGACTTACCCCCCATCCTTCTCATTACAGAAAGCAAAAAATAAAAATTGGGGTGTGTGAGAAGGAGTATGGATAGGCTTTAGCGATAAACTTCACACACACACACACACACACACATATTTATTATTATTATTATTATTATTATTATTATTATTATTAAGCCCAAGAACCACAAGTTATGGTCGATGTTAGTATTTGCAATTTTCTTTTCATTTTGAAACTTTGACAATTTGCTTTTTTTCTCTCTCTCTGTGCATGTATATAAATAATGCCTAATTTTAAAAATTGGTGCTGCATAGGTGGGCAGCAGAATTCCTGGGCAGCAAGATTTGGCCATAGGCAGGTGACGATTGGGGAATTTGGTGGGAGGGCAGTTTATGGGAGCTGCATCCAATCCATGGGTTGCCTCCATGTGGTTTAAGAGACAATCTGTAATTACCAAGTGTTAGAAACCATGCAGAGTCACCGGGAAACTGTTAAGTGCACCTGCCAGTTAGTTATTATTTTACATTCTGTTTTATGAAGTGATTATGACATTCACAGAAGCGAAGAATAGCATAAAATTCAGAACGTGCTAATTTGCATTTTTTTAGACCTGGCTCACAACTCTGTATGAGGCTTGCAGAACCCTATCTCATTTATTCTATTTCTGTTGTTGCCTGGAAAGCTTAGCTGTGTTCTTCTAATCACCTTGGATGTACTCTGTCTCGTTGTTATACTTTCAAAGCCATAAAGACTTTCTCTCCATGCACAACTAGTATAGCCATTTTCCTAGATAAGTCTACTCGTTTTGCCATAGTTCTCAAAGATACTAACCACAAAGGGACCGCTTTCAAAGCGGCATCCTGAGGGTGAACGTTAAAGCAGTGCTGTGAAGTCAAAAGGGACTTTAAAATAGTTAACATACTTGCTTTCTTACCTATATATCCCACCCTTCTTCCACAGTATGGTCTAAAGTTATAAACATGTGGGTTCTAAGCAGTTGCCCAGGTACTGCCCAGAACCAGACATCTTCACAAACAGGTGTCCTGATCAAAGGAAGGATTCCATGAACACAGCTGACCTTGATGTCACTGAGATAGCTCAGCTGGTAGAGCACAGCACTTAATCTCAGGATCGTGGGTTTGAGCCCCACATTGGGTGAAAGATTCCTGCATTCCAGAGAGTTGAACTGGATGACCCTCATGGTCCCTTCCAACTCTACAATTCTGTGGGTCTAGGAAGAGGAGGGAGTGGTGTACACTAAGACATTGGGGTGAAGCCAGCACATGCACACTCATGCCCTCTTCCCAGTCATTGCACATTCTTTTGAACACCTGAAAAGTGCTATTGCTTGCTGGATATCAAGTGATAAACGCTACATTATTTGATAAGACAGTTCAGAACTTCTGAATTTATTGATCTATAACATATACTGCTATTCTTCTTGATTTCACTAGCTCTTAGAATTATTTTATATGATTGTATTATTATTATTTATCATTTTTTTCTAGCTGAAACTATTACAAAAGATAAAATAAACAAAACAGAATACAAACAAAATAAAGTGCATTGCACAGTTAAAATAATTATTAAAACCAGACATCCTGTCAGATAAGAGTTTGGTCCCCTGAATAATTTAACTTATCATCCCCACAAACTTTTCTGCTTAGGATTGCCACTCTAAAGGCAAAACAGGCCACTTTCCCCAAGATATATGGGAAACCTGTCCCCTAATAAAAAGTTAATCAAATACTCAATTGATCTCCCAAGTGGGAGATTTAAATCTTTGAACAAAGCTTGTCTAAAGTCCTTGTACATCCGTGAGCTGTTCAATGAACCTATTCCCCATGGGAACTGTGGTTTGTTAAGGGTGCTGAGAATGGCAACTCTGTGAAGAGTAAATTACATTTCCCAGAATTCTGTGGGAGAGGTTATGTGCTTTGAATGCACTTAAAATGTATAGTATGTATGGCTTCTTCTTTGGCAATAGTATGTATGTGGCCCTAATTAAAATGTTATTGGGCTGAATGTGTGAAAGCTACTCATTACTGATGACCAACATGACTGATAAGAACAGTCACTTCATTTTTGGACCCCTGGAACATAGACTATGGAATGACTGTAGATGGTTTCCCTACTCAGTATACTGAATCCAAACTTACTGCAAACTACCGTAATTTTCGCTCCAAAACACACACTTTTTTGCTCCTAGAAAGTAAGGGGAAATGCCTGTGTGTGTTACGGAGCGAATGCACTCGACTGGAGCCATGGCTGTTTTCAGTCAAGCAAAGCGGGAGCCGCTTGCAGGGCTTTGCACTAGCTTTGCTCTAGCTTTGCTTGCTTTACAGCCAGGAGGAGGGGGAGGAGCCGAGGAGGAGGGAGGGAAGGAGAGCCATGGCAGCAAAGCGGTCAGCAGCCGCTTACATGGGAGGAGGGACAGACGGGAGCCATAGCGAGCCGGAAAAAGCGCCGCGTAGCCAGCAACAGCTGCTGCAGCCTCAGCTAGCAAAGGTCTGTGCGCTCTCTAAACGGAGCAATGAGGCTGCAGAGGGACGGCAGGGCACAGGAGGGCTCTGAGCTACGAGCACAGTGAAAACCAGTAAAAAAGTTTTTTAAAAGGCTGCTGGGATGAGGGAGAGGGGGAAATTACGATTCTCCCAGCGTCTCAGCTGATCCACTGAGCAGGACTTGGGCCATTAGCTGTGTAAAGCAGCAAAGAGGGAGAGAAGGAGCAAAGCGGGAGAGGAAAGGAGCTGCTTACACTGCTGTAAGTGGCTGCTGTCCGGTTGGCTCCTTTAAAGCAACAGTGCTCTTTCCCTCCCCCCTCCCCGCTCAGCTCGCCGAAAAGCTCCTTTTCCACACACCCCACGCGAGCTCCTTCTCCCCTTAAACCCCTCTCCTGCATCATTAGCAGCATCCTTTTCCACCCACCCCACGCGTGTTCCTTCTCCCCTTAAACCCCTCTCCTGAAATATTAGCAGCATCCTTCTCTACACACCCCATGCATGTTCCTTTTCCCCTTAGACCCCTCGCCTGCATTATTAGCCACATCCTTCTCCACACACCCCACGCGTGTTCCTTCTCCCCTTAAACCCCTCTTCTGCATTATTAGCAGCATCCTTCTCCACACACCCCATGTGTGCTCCTTGTCCCTTGAATGCTTTTTCTTCCCTCCCCACTTAAAACATGGTTACAAAGCACGGATCCACATGGATCCTCAGGATTTTTGCACTGGGTCACCCCAAGTTCACCATCAGATCACATAGCATATCCATGGCCACAGCCTGCACCAAAAAACACCCACGCACCCACTGTTTCATGGGGCTGCAATGGTGCAAAAATGTGGTTACAAAGCATGGATCCACATAGATCCTCAGGATTTTTGCATTGGGCTACCCCAAACTCACCGTCAGATCACGTCTGTGGCCACAGCATGAACCACAAAAATCATACATCCACTGTTTTGTTTAGAATATTTTTTTCTTGTTTTCCTCCTCTAAAAACTAAGTGCGTGTTACGGTCAGGTGCGTGTTATAGAGCGAAAAATACGGTATAAGGCCGCCTTGTGAGTTTAGACCAGAGAGGTGAGATTTAAACTGGGGCACTTCCTTGTTTGGACCTCAGCCTTTGAGTCATTAAGCTTCTCCAGCTCTGAGACAGTTTTTGCATTTAAAAGACCTCTGCATGGGCTCTGCTAATAACTGTATTCAAATGACAGATGCAGCAGATCTGTTGTGCGATTTCCCAGTCCAGTGAGAACACCTGGATTTTTAAAAAAGGAAAGGAATTTGCAACAGTTTAAAACAATGTGGGGAAAAGTCAAATTTCTCATCAAGATATCCTAATAAGGCAGTGAGCTGCATAACTGTTACTACACATGGAGGCACAAACACACATGTCTCCCCAAACAGATTATTAGTACTGTCAGCTTTGGTGGTTCTGATTACTAGTTGGGGAAGGAGGAGATTAAATCAGCGCTCAGTTTTGTTCTCTGAAACCTCAAGCTGACCCAATGCAAATGAATAATGTATAAAAGAGGGAGCATATTCATGTGATGGATGCAGCGTTCTTCCTTCTGTGGGTGCAAAGCAAGAAGAACTCAGAGAAGTGAACCCATACACAAAACAACACAGATTGCCTTTGCTGAATCAGGCTGCATGTCTTCAACAGCATATATATGTTAAAATAGGCAGTGTGGTTTTAATAATGAGCCTGCCCAACTCCGTAGAAACAAAGTTTGAGAAACAGTATGCTGCTTGGCTCTTGGAAATGTTGGTGAGTGCCTAGCAACAGATCTATTGTATTGGAATAAAAGGGGGGGAATATTATCGAAGGGGAAATAAAACCCAAATGTTAATATAACTTCTTCTAAAAATCTTTTCAGTGTTTTTGTTTTGTTTGTAGAAAATGATTTTCACAAACAAGGATAAAGCAATCTGCCAAAAGCAAGTATTCAAGGCGACTCCTTTCACTCTGCATTTATTACAATCGGTCAAATTATACCTCCACTCTTAGGCCAGGCAGCCAGGGTCACCTGTGTAAGCCCCAATGAAGCTTTGACATCCGCTAGTGGATTGATGTTAGCAATGCAAGGCTTTCTTATAAAAATTATGGCATGTTTGTTTCTTTAAATTGCTTTTTTTAAATAAATAAAAAAAGACTGCATTTAATGAAGTAATCTATTGTAATCCACTTTATTGGGAAAGGGTAAGTTTCTAAGCTTTAAGATAAGGTAAAGGTAAAGGGACCCTGACCATTAGGTCCAGTCGTGACCGACTCTGGGGTTGCAGCACTCATCTTGCTTTATTGGCCGAGGGAGCCGGCGTACAGCTTCCGGGTCATGTGGCCAGCATGACTAAGCCTCTTTTGGCGAACCAGAGCAGTGCACGGAAACGCCGTTTACCTTCCCGCTGGAGTGGTACCTATTTATCTATTTGCACTTTGATGTGCTTTTGAACTGCTAGGTGGGCAGGAGCAGGGACCGAGCAACGGGAGCCCACCCCCTTGCGGGGATTCAAACCACCAACCTTCTGATCGGCAAGTCCTAGGCTCTGTGGTTTAACCCACAGTGCCACCCACATCCCTAAGCTTTAAGATAAAGAGAACTGCAATCCAATGCATGTCTGCTCAGACATAAGTCACACTGAGTTCAATGGGCCACACACCCAGGTAAGCGGCCTACATTGTAATTATTTGTTGAGCCCTGAATATTTATTTGTTTATTTACAAAAGTATCTATATATATATTGCCCTCTCATCAAACATCAGGCTGGAACACAGTGATTTAAAAAACTTTTAAAGGCTATGCAGAACAATCATTGAAATGGCTGGCTAGTCAATAAAGTTTTAAATAGCTGCATGGAGACATTTGAAAATCAAAAGCGAGGCCGCCTGCCCAATCTTTCCTGGAAGAGCATTCCACAGCCTGGGACTGGCGAAGCTCAACTTCTGGCTGAGGCCAGTCATGCCTCTGTAATGGGGGGGGGGCAACTAGCAGCATCCCTCCAGGTGATCTCAGTGGCCAGGTTTCAATTTAAGAGCTCAGGTAACCTCTTAAAGCATCCTGGATCCAAGTTGTTCAGGGCTCTGAATCTCAACACAAGAGCCCTGGACCTGGTCCAGTAGCATATGAGCAGAAGTTTGAGCAGAGGGGTCTCATATTGTTGGTTGTCTGCTTCCATTGGCTGAGCACTCTACATGTGGATTCTAAGGGGTGGGGCAGGAGTGGCTGTCAGTGAGGGGTACTGCTATGAACCTGGCACCCTAGCAGTGCTGCAGCCTTCTGGGATGGTGCAGGAGGTAAGGGCAGTCCAGGTGCACTGGTGGAGCCAGTCTGGCTTGCCTAATTGCCCTGAAACCCACGCATCCCGTTCAATGCCCAATACTGCTTCTGGGAAGCCAGATCCATAACCTCTGGCTGCTCCTGGGCTGGGGCTATATTGTCCAAAGAGGGCTTTTAAACGCACTCTCGGAACCATGTAACGTTGCCCAAAAAAGAATGCCGGAACAAAGCAGCATTTTTCAAAAAAAACTTCTGTCTAAATTTAGACCAGAAGAGCTAGTCGTAATTAGGTGATGTCAAGAACTTTGTAAGGATTTTGATGTGGAATCTTTCCAACTTGAAATGTTATGTGGTAGAATCAGGGAGCACTCGGCTGCCAAAGCTCAGCTGGAGGCCAGAAATCAAACAGAGAAAAGCCTCTGCTGAGTTTCAGATATATTTCAGGCTAGCTCCTAGTTCAAAGAAAGCACAACTAACAGAGGGGGGAAATCCCAGCACATTTGCACTCTTCAAAAAGGCCACCTTCTTTTCTTGGTTAATATTAATATAATAAAGTTATAGGGAGAAACGGACTGCAAAAAATTAACTCTTGAGGGTTCATGTCATTTCTTCTGGCAACGTTGACAAAGAAAGGCAAAACAATTCTGGGAAAGGAAGCAGGCTTGTGTTAAGATAGAAGAGAAATTTAAAATCCATGATAACTTAGATTTCTAGGTTGTGCTTCATAGCAGTCAATAACAAAGAATTGCAGCAGGTCCCTGGGTAATGCAATTACACAAATATATACATTCTGCTGTTCTCTGGTACAAAGGTTGCTTCAAAATCCTGGAGCTAGAATGAGTACCTGGAGTTTTGAGATTATGGCTAAAGATTAAGGGAAAAAGGGTCATGTCAGAGATAGAATGGAGCTGGAATATTTCCAGCAGACTATGTGGTAAAATGGCTTAGATGTAGAACTGAAGATAAGACAATGGAACAAGAATGTTTTTATATATGCTGGAAACTGCCCAGAGTGGCTGGGACAACCCAGTCAGATGGGTGGGTTACTAATAATAGTAATAATAATAATAATAATAATAATTTGTAAGCTAACCGCATTGTGGGGTGCTCACTGCCTCTCTCTGGAGAGCTTATGCTGGCAGTGGATCTCAAGTTTCAGAGTTTTTCAGCTGTGCATCTACCCTTGCCTACTCAAATATTATAAAACACCATAGGGCTCTAGTAGGGGTGGAAGAGACATTCGATTCTGTTCTCATTTAAAGATGAACTAACAAATTCTCACTGCCTGAAACAATGTGCAAACTAAAATTCACACTTCTCTGAATTTTCCAGTGCAGGTCTATCAGCAAATAAAGTGTACAAAAATGCATTACGCTAGGGTAAAGTAAATATATAAATGCAAATATTACTATGGGAAAACTTACAAAATGCATCTTATTAGGGCAAATTACTTTGCAGAAATGTGTACATTAGGAGAAATTTGCAAAACAACAACAACAACAACAACTGGTAATTTTCATGAAGATAAATACAGAAATATAAAAAACTGAATTTAAAAGTGGAAAAACTGGAAAACAGAGAAACCAAAATGGGCGCATACGCCCATCCCAACCACCAATCTATGGTCTTATCCTTGAGTATGAAAGGAGGAACATTCACACAAACTGGGCACTTTCCACTGCTATAACTAACAATGGGGGAAGAGTGGATTATAATGTGCTAGATTGTAATGTTGGTTCACACCCCAAAGACATCTCTGCCATATGTATTTATTTACACACAGGCATTCTGACATCAAGGATATATTTGGTGCTGCTACTGCCATTACAGAATTCTTAGGGATTTCCTTGAAAACTCAGGTAGCTGGCAGCATGGACAGATTTTCTAAAGCAAAATTTAGGGGAACCTTACAAAGATCTTCAAGGTGGTCTTTGATTTCTAAAGGAGATATTTGTGAAGAAAAGTTTAAAATGTTCTGCCCGTTGTTTGTGGAACACCAGTCAAAGGATTCAATCAAATCAAGCATTTGTAGTTATATTGATTGCACTGGGAGAGACCTAACACATGAGTCACTATCCCATTAACATATGGGTAACCAATGTGGAGATCTCTAGATGTTGCCAAACTGCAGTTCCCATTATCCTCTACCATTGACCATTCTGGGTGAGGCTAATAAGAGATGAAGTTCACAAAATCTAGAGGGTACAACATTGGCTACCCCTGCATTAACACTAAGGTTCCTACTATTGGCTGGGTTGTGACCATTAATTGTACAAAATAAAGAATTTTTAATGTTAGTTAATAATCTGCATACATGGATTTACCTTGGATTTTCTCCCGTTCTTATTCTTTTTGATGTGCAGAATGTAATTTCAGTATTTTGGGTTATTTTGGCATTATAAATTTCTCCCTTGGAGGTATAGCCATAGAAATATTAGTCAGAAAAGTATCCTTTTAAGAAATGCTTTTTTCCTCTCTCTCTCTGCCCATTTCTTTTTTTAAAAAAAAAAATTAACTATATATTTAAGGTGTGGTTGTGCCATATTCCTGTGATCTTCCCTCAGAGAACATTTTTTGAATCACACAAATATTTTGTAATAAAAATATTTTTATGGCTGTGTCCTGATCTCAACCACTCTACTGCCATAATCCTAATTTACTTAAATGAAGAATGTCTGCTTGTAGAGTCAATGAACTAGGGCTTTTTTTCCCCACGAGGGGAAAAGTAAAAAGCTATCATATTAAACCTGCAAAACCTTTTATTCAAGTTCTTTCAGGTGTCTTTATATTGGCAATGATTGTCTCCTGTTAAATTGGTTCTTATTACAGTGGTACCTTGGGTTACAAACACTTCGGGTTACAGACTCCACTAACCCGGAAGTAGTACCTCAGGTTAAGAACTTTACCTCAGGATGAGAACAGAAATCACGCGGCAGCGGGAGGCCCCATTAGCTAAAGTGCTACCTCAGGTTAAGAAATGTTTCAGGTTAAGAACAGGCCTCTGGAACGAATTAAGTTTGTAACCAGAGGTACCACTGTTATTGTTTCCATCACTGAAATGTCTCTTTCCGCACTTCTCTCAGCTATCGTATCGTTTTAGAGGAACTGCAGATTTGGAAGTGGGACACTGGATCACCTTATATGAACCACAATGTATCCCATACTGAAGTATGACTCTTCAATTGATGGGAGGTGCAAAGTCAGGTAAAATGCATCAATGGTTCCACTGTAAATTTCTCTTTTAAAAAACTTAAATTAAGGGGCAAACAGGTAAAGGAGAATAATATATACAGTGAAAAAATAAAATAGAAGTGGGTTCCTCATTTCAGGATGGTCTCCAGATCCTCTAACGAAAGTTCTTGGAGAAATAAAAACAACATTAAAAAAAACAATAAAAATGATAATAATTAAAAACAATGGATTAAAGACTATTGATCTAAACAATCACTAACACATTTTTGTAAGATTGGTTGATTAATCATATGTGCAAAGGCTAAATAATGAAGTATTCAAATTTCATAAAAATGTTATTATAATGGGCTGGTTAGTCATGCTTTGGTCCCATTCTATAATTGTTTATGTAAAATGTGGAAACACTGAGTCAGCCACGTAATGAATGCTTGAATTGTATTTCCTATAATTTAAATTTTGCACATTAAAAAACAGCAACTGAGATAGATTCACACTGCTCCTTATTTAACTGCAATGGGTTATCCCCCACCCCCAACATCATCACTACCTGGAAATAAAATAATTTAAGAAGGAAAATAATATTAATCTGACAGTGCGTCTATTTATATCTAAGATCAAACTTTGATGAAGTACATTTTTCATGGTGCATCAGCAAAGTGTATGATGCAGGAAAAACTGTACCCATTGTATTATCTTCAGGTCCATCAATTTTTATCAAGTTTATGCTGTATGAAGACTTTTAATGGAAATCAGCAACTGTAGCCATCTAGTGCATGTTGTTATATAATGAACTGGAGTAAGACCCCAGGAAGACTTAATTACTTGCACTGGGAACAGCCTTAAGCTCATTATGTAAGGTGTTGTAACTGCACGCAGATTAAAACACGATAGTCTCTGCCCACAGCCTCACAATCTGGAAGATATGGCACAAAAAGAAAAAGGAATGGGGAGGAAGAGAAAATATATAATCAGTTCTAAACAAAAAACACTACAGATCTTAAAATGACCAGCTGGAATAGAGGCAGTCCAAGGAAGGGGAGAGCCAGATGACAGATGGCTTCTCAACTGAACTAATGAAGTTGGCCTTGCAGCCCCCTCTTTCCATCCTGGGCATTCAGGCTCAATTTTCTCCCACAAGAGAAAGCGATGTCCACCAACTTGGACGGCTTTAAAAGAGGATTGGATGAATTCATGGAAGAGAAGACTAACCATGTTTACTAGCCTCAAGGGCTACGATCTACCTCCACTGTTGGAGGCAGTATGCCTCTAAATATGAGCTGCTGGGAATCAGTCTACCTTCCTGCTGGAGCGGTACCTATTTATCTACTTGCACTTTGTGCTTTCAAACTGCTAGGTTGGGAGGAGCAGGGACCAAGCAATGGGAGCTCACCCTGTTGCAGGGATTTGAACTGCCAACCTTCTGACCGGCAAGCCCTAGGCTCTGTGGTTTAACCCACAGCGCCACCCACATCCACTGAAAAGTTTACAGGATTCAATATTATTTTTTTACACACTGTTCCTGCCTGCACATTTTCACTGCATTTTCTGTGTGCTAAAACTACTAAAAAACTGCAAGAGCACAGCTTCCTGAGGCAGGCATCCTATACACACTTACCTGGGAGTAAGTTCCATTGAACTCAGTGGGTCTTACTTCCGAGCAGAAATCTACAAGATTGTGCTCTAAAGCTTACAAAAACTATTTCCCCAATAGACTTCATGAAAAGATTTTTTAAAAAAATGAACCTGAAATGTTTGTTCAGTTACTTGAATTGCCATTTCTGTACAACAGTTTGGAAAAAGGGACTGGAAAAATACTCTCACAGATGTGGAATTTTTTATTTATTTAAACTAACACATTTAAAAAAGAAAAAAGAAAAAAGGGGACGACGATACAAGGAAACTTTTAAGACTGAAAGTTGGCTCCTGTTTAAACATACACACACACACAAGTGGTTTGTTTTAAAAGTCAACATTTGAAAATAGTAGCATTTCCCAAACATCATTATGCCATGGCAGTAGTGGCTAAATATCAATAATACTAGCCTTCAGATGAAAAGGAGAGAGAAAAATATGGATGGTATGATGACCAAATAGTATTTCATACTAGACACCTACGGTGAAGGGAAAATGAAAAGCAAACATTGACATGAAGGCTGAAATCCAATGCTCAGTTACCTGAGAGTAAGCCCCATTCTTGCCCAGTAAAAACACTAAAATCAAATATACAAATCACAGCAGTAAGAATTATCTAAAACAAGCATAAGTGTAAGCAGCTAAAACATTTACAAGTCATATAAAATGTACAAGCTGTATAAAACCAGCAAGGAACAAAATTTGGTGGATAAAACTAACACACCAGGTAGATGTAGTCACTATGATTAAAACTGAAATTAAAATGGAAAATAATATGAAACTCAAAATAGAGAGCCACCAGTCTTAGGAACGAAAGATTAAACAAGTCCTTTTCATACATTTTCTAAACGCTTTCATCACACACTTCCAATATGTTTATACTTTTCACACCTTCAAATCACAAGGGCACACATAAAATAGGATCTGCCAAAGCAGAAACGCGTTCACCACTGCATGTTCATTTCAGTGGTATACTGAAATTACAGTATACCTTGTAAAATTTTCTGTATGGATTGAGAAACTACCCTTTTTATCCATAGAATGATCCCACCCACATCACTCAAGCTTGTGACTCTTTTTTAAAATAAAAAGCTAAACATTTACATTTTCCACTGTTTCTTTTTTCTGTGAACATTCAAGCCAAATGTTTCCCGAGTGCTGCTTTTCATATCCTCAAGGAAAAGCAGGAATGTTCAATATTGTTTTACAATTCTTTTGCAGCCCCAGAGGGGAGAGAAATTAGACAATGCCTGTTATGCACTGCCAAAAAAAGAGAGAGGACCAAAAATCACACCACTTTGCATGAGATTTGCATATGGTTGTGTGTGTGTGTGTGTGTGTGTGTGTGTTTGAAAATTTAGAAACAATTACTATAATTTAAATACTGGCAATTCCCCATTTACGCAAGCTCTATTTGCGTACAACTGTGCACACATGTGGTGCCGGGAACCCAGAAATGGGGAGCACCCTGCAGAGTTCTCCTGGCTCGCAAGGAGACCCTCCCCAGAGCATGAAGAGGATGTCCTAACATGCAGGGTAGCTCACCGGCTGTCACTTTGCCATGCATCAGCTGAGCAAGCCCCGCAGCCCCTCTGGCTCGTGCAAGCTGGAGGGGCAGCGCATCTTCTTGACTGGCTCAGCTGACATACATGGAAGAAGCAAGGCCCACTGCCAATCCCCTGGCTAGAAGAGACAGAGAAAAAAGATAACACAATGGAAGTCAATAAAAATAAAAACTCACTTTTCCCCCCAACTCCAAAATGCCCTTCTGCAACAGCCTTCAGAATGCCCGGCATTTACACACTGTAAGTCTTCTCTCCCTTTAAGCCCTTGCATTTATTTCCTTCCCATCATTAGTTCACCAGATAGTTGACATTCTCTGGGCAGACAGGAAGAATCGTTCTTGTGTGCCACCTACAGTAGATCAAGCATTTAAATTATGATCAGGTCCAATGTGACATTTGAGCACCAAGACTAAAGAGCTTTAGCAGGAGGTGGATGCTTCCTCACACCCTCAAATCTATAAACCTGTTCTACACAACTTCAGCACATGAAAGTACAATTGGAGACGAATAATTTTGTCTCTGTAAAAGCAAGTGAAATCCATTCCACTATTTTTAAATAAAAAATGTTTAACAACACGCCCAAATGTTTAAGCTAGATAAAAATGACATAGCTTTTCTAAAATACTAAATAAAAAAAACTTCAGTGGCTGAAAACAATCTACTGGTTTTAGTTTGATTTTTTAAAAAATGAGTCTTAGGTCAAGAGTTGATCTGTTACACGGAACACAGGCAGGAATTTATACCAAACACTACAAAGGGGAATAGAAAACAAAGAGAGAAAAGAACTAAGCAATGTGTTCTTAATAAAAACAAAAGGAACATCAACTTCAGACTGTCATGTGACTAAGGACTATATAACAAATGATTCCCACCCCCTGAGAGAAATAATTTCCTGTGGGAAAAGTGGGCAGAATTATTATGTGTGACGTATTGTGTGCTAAGGTTTATTGCAACACACTTTGAGAAGTCCATGTTGGAGATACACAGTTTAGGACAGTATTATTCAACCTTGAGTTCCCATATATTGTTGAACTACAAATCCCATTATCCCCAGCTAGTTTAGCCAATGGTCAGGGTGGAAGATGAGTTTGTAGTCCAACAACATCTGGAGGGCACCTGATGAAGCTAGGTAGTTTAGGAAATGTCTTGAAGTTGAATCAGTCCGTAAGTATGTGAAACCTACCTGAAGGATACAGTACTATTATATATTTATATCCCACTTTTCTGTTTTAAAAAATGTATACATACCCTGAACTGACTTCAAAAATAGAAAAAGATGTCTAATCTGAGGTTGTTATCAGCATGTGTACATCAGAAGAGCCTGCTAGATCACGCCAGTGGCCTATCTAGTCTAGTTTCCTGTTTCTACAGTAGCTGACCAGATGCCTATGGAAAACCTGCAAGCAGGATTTGAGTGCAAGAGCACACTCCCTTCCTGTGAGTTCCAGAAACTAGTATTCAGTACCTGACTGTGGAGCCACGAAACAGCCGTTGTGGCTAGTAGCCATTGATAGCTTTATCCTCCATAAATTTGTCCAATCTCTTTTAAAACCATCTAAGTTGATGGCAGGGGACACGGGTGGTGCTGTGGTCTAAACCACTGAGCCTAGGGTGTGCCGATCGGAAGGTCAGCGGTTCAAATCCCCACGACGGGGTGAGCTCCCGTTGCTTGGTCCCTGCTCCTGCCAACCTAGCAGTTCGAAAGCACGTCAAAGTGCAAGTAGATAAATAGGTACTGCTCCAGCAGGATGATAAACAGCGTTTCTGTGCGCTGCTCTGGTTTTGCCAGAAGCGGCTTAGTCATGCTGGCCATATGACCTGGAAAAACTGTCTGCAGACAAACGTCGGCTCTCTTGGCCAGTGAAGCGAGATGAGTGCCACAACCCCAGAGTCATTCACAACTGGACTTAATTGTCAGGGGTCCTTTACCTTTACCTTTAAGTTGATGGCTATCACTGTCCTTGTAGAAGTGAGTTCTATTGCGTAACTGTGTGCTGTGTGAAGAAGCACTTTCTTTGTAATATGACAAATATAAAAGAACTGTTGTGTGTTCATGATGAATTTCCCACAATGTGCCAGTTCTGTTTTACCCTGTCATTTTTATATTTTACCAGAATTGAAAATAGGAGTACAATAAAGGATGGTCAAAGTTTAAGCCCATTCAAGGCTGTAATCTTCTACTTGATACCTTAAGAAATCTCACCCTTTATTCACCCAGCACAAAGCTCTACCCTGGTAGAGGTATCCTTCCAATATACCTTCTAGATATTATTGGACTAAAACTCCCATCATCCCTGACTATTGGCCATGCTGACTTGTGATGATGGGAGTTGTAGTCTAACAACATCTGGAGAGCATCAGGTTGACTAAGAGCAAAAATCCATGTTGGCTTCAGATAATTTTTGTACCAAATCGAAAAGAAAAAATGAAACATACTTCAAAGTGCTTTGAACCAAAGCACCTCCTTCTACCAAATGATGCAAAGATAGTTGCCATATTTCAAACAGTGAAAATCACAAAAAGGCCCCTTTGGAGCTATTTTTATGGGAAATCAGCAAAAATGGCACTGATGACATGGGCAGCCATATGTCCGGATTTTTCTGGACATTAGAACGATTTCCGTCCAGACACTGCTGCAGACTGCAGTATTTCAGATATGCCCAGGAAATTCCAGGTGTATGGTAACTCTAGCAAAGATATGAAGGTTGTAGGAGGGGGGAGGGGGAATATGGTTTATTTCACAATTTACTGCCAAGTTACCTGATTCACACTTCCAGAAAAAAAATATGCAAACTGAAACAGAGCTTTCCTTCACATTTTGCACTTCTCTGAATTTTTCAGTGCAGCTCTCTAACCCAAAAAGGTGTACAAAATGCATATATCAAGGTGGAAATATGTATTCAAATACATATACAGTGGTACCTCGGGTTACATGCGCTTCAGGTTACAGACTCCTCTAACTCAGAAATATTACCTCGGGTTAAGAACTTTGCTTCAGGATGAGAACAGAAATTGTGCTCCGGCGGTGCAGCGGCAGGAGGACGCCCCATCAGCTAAAGTGGTCTGATTCAGGTTAAGAACAGTTTCAGGTTAAGAACAAACCTCCAGAACGAATTAAGTTCTTAACCCAAGGTACCACTGTATTGGTGAAATTAACATAAAATAATGCATTGTATTAGGGAGAATTGCTTGGAAAATTACATACAAATAGGTGTATATTATGTCGGATGTGCAGAGAAACCTTAACAATTTTTTGTGAAACTATAGTTGACAAATTTGTCTATCCTTAGCGTTGGAAGCAAGAATGTGGAGCCCCCTTCTGGAATCTGCCATCAAAGCAACCACTTGCCATTACATCATAAGAAGGCTGGTCTTGCTTAAAATATCCGCAAGGCCCTTTTTAAACAGCGTGCATTCCTGAACTCTGACAAATATCTTTCAACACTGATTTTCCATGTGTCTCCCATTATAGTACAAAAAGGGGGGCACACTGAAATCTTGATGATTCAACTGTTAGAAAAAGGACATGAAAATGGCTTATTTATCTCCAAAGGCCATTTTCCCTAACATTTTTCTGCTTCTTCCTAAAGTCCCAAACTTTAAACCCAAACTGATCTGCAGTTGCTGCTAATTAAGGCAGCCCACTTTAGGACTTATT